TCCTCACGGTTGCAACGCTGATGAGTCTACGCCTTGATGTTCCAAAGTCTGACCAGAGTTGTCCAGGAAAAGTATTCTCTGCATAGGCAAAACTAAATTCTACTGTCTCCTCAGATGTCATTCGGTCAAGGGCAATAAAACGATGGTGACGGGAATCTGACTGTTAAATGCTAGTGTGAATGCAGAATCTATATGTTACCATTATCATCTTGGTACATAGAAACATCGAAAATAGGAGCGGGTGTAGGCCATTCGGCCCTTTGAGCCTGATCCGTCAATGTGATCAGGGCTGATCATCAAACTCAATACTTGCCCTCTCTTTGCCCCCATACCTTTGATCTCTTTAGCCCTAAGAACTACATGTAATTCCTACTGGAAATGTACAATGTTTTGGTCAAAACTACTTATGTGGCTGAGAATTCCATAGGCTCAGCACTCCCTGGGTGAAGAAATTTCTGCTTATCTCAGTCCTAAATGATCTACCCCATATCTTTAGACAAGAACCTTTGGTTCTGAACTCCATTATCATTGGGAATATCCTATTACCCTGTATAGTCCTGTTCAAATTTTACAGGTTTATATGAGCTTCCCCCCTCCCCCATTCTTTGAAATGCTAAGAGGATGTTTCCCTCATAAGAGAGTCTAGGACCAGAGGGCGTAGTATCAGAATAAAGGGATGCCAATTTAAGACTGAGATGAGGAGGAATTTCTTCTCTCAGAGAGTTGTGAGTCTTTGCAATTCCTTGCCACAGACAGCTGTGGGGTCAGAGTCCTTGTGTATATTTAAGGCTGAGATATATTCTTGATCAGTCGGGGAATCAAGGGTTAGGGGGAAAACTGGGCATAAGGAATGTTGGATCAACCATGACCCTGTTGAATAGCGGAATAGGCATGAGGGTCTGATCAAGCAAATTTTACTCTTCTTCATGGCCTTATGGTCTTAAATTTGAGTGAATATAGACCTAACTGATTCAATCCCTCTTCATACTTCAGTCCTGCCATCCCAAGAATCAGTCAAGTAAACACCTCACATTATTGACTCTCTGCAACTGGCAGGATACCCTTTAAACTTAGCTTTGCACAGCCAATGTATAGGGAGAGAATTCTTCAGTGGCATTCCACCTTCTAAATTATTGGGGTTTTTTTCACATTCAACAGAACAGTAATTTGAAGCCAACCCCTTTCAGCATTTTCACGGACTCCATCAAGTACACAACTGACAATACTTGTGAGGCAATTATATTTCTGGAATAAAAGGGAGAGCAGCAACATTGATGTGAAATTGGCTGAGTGATAACAATCAGAGAGTAATGGTTAATGAGTTTTTGTTTAGGCTGGAGGAAGTTTTGTAGTGGAGTTCCCCAAGGTTGGGACCTTTTATTTCTGATTTATATAAATGTTTTACGTCTTTGAGTGCAGGAGACAATTTGAAAGTTTGTGGCTGATACAAAATTTGGAAGTATTGTAAACCATGAGGAAGACAGTGTAGAACAGGAAAGAACATGAAAAGTTAGTGAAGTTTGCAGATAAGCAGCAGATGAAGTCCAAGGTGAAGGAGTTTGAGGTGATACATTTTGGTAGCAAGAATATGGAGAGACAGTATAAAATGAAGGTTACCATTGTAAAGAGTGTGCAGGAGCAGAGATACCAGATGTATATTGTACATAAGTAAGTAAAGTTGGCAGGGCTTATGGAGAGAGCAGTTATTAAAGCAGATAGTATCTCAAGGACTCTTGTGGTGCAGTGATAGATTCCCTATACCAGAATCTGAAAGGCGAGTTTAAAGTCCTACCTGCATGTTTGAACAGATTCATTTTAAAAATATCTATGGTCCCATGGACTTTATTAACAGGGACACGGAGTGCAAGAGCTGAGAGGTTACACTGAAACATTATGAGATGCCAGTCAGTCCTCAGCTAAAGTATTGTGTACAGATCTATACACCAGACATTGGGGAAAATGTTAAGGCTTTGGAAAGAGTGCAGAAAATGTTTACAAAAATGGTTCCAGAGATGAGAAATCTCAGTTATGATGATAGACCAGGGAAGTTGGGAGAGATTTCCTTGGCATGTACTAGGTTAATAGGATACTTGATTAAAGTTTTCAAAACTATGAGAGATCTCTAAAAGGAGAAACTTTCAAGTTGTAAAAAGATAGAGAAACAGAAGGTCACAGATTCACAATAATTTTCAAATGAAGCAAATATGAGGTGAGAAAAAAGACATTTTGCACACAGTAAGTAATTAAGGTCTGAAGTATAGTGCCTAGAAATATCATGGAGGCAAGTTTAATAGAGGCATTCAAGAGGGCATTGGATAACTGCAAGAAGCGATTTCCTTTATTTGAAGTTGGAAGTTGTCAGAGCGTGAAATCACATCATCGAACATTTTGACACTAAAGATTAAAACATCCATCTGAAAATCTTGTCTCACCTCTGTTTAATAGGTAATAAATGTGGTACGATCCCCTGTAGTGGGAAAGAAAATTTCAAATCACCAACATACCATTGGAAAGCTTTGGAGTTTACCTGATACTTTGTAACTGTGACAGACTTAATTTCCACAGAAATTATGAAGTGTTTTTGTTCCACACTCTCCATTACTGCTGAAGGCAGATCGTTAAATGTTTCAATTAGGGGCTCTTGTGGTAGTATCCCTATCCCTGAGCCAGGATGCTTAGGTTAAAGCCCCACCTGCTCCAAACATGTGTCATAACATCTTTGAACAGTTTGATTAGAAGATATCTTAAAACATTTCAACTAAAAGTTTACCAGGAAACACACCATTTTCAGAATATTATTACAATTGGTTTCAGAGCTGATGTTGTGTGGAAATATTTGATTTGTTTTAAATTGCAACAAATGTACTGTTAAATTTAAAATCACAGCGATTACTGTTCACTGATATTTAAATCACTGCAATGTTAGGAATATAAGGACGGAAATTATTGGAAAGTCACAGTGAATTAATCAGTTGCAAGGTTAAGAGATTACCCTGCAGTTTGAAACTCTCACAAGGTTTCCAAACACTGAATATGAAGACCACTGTTAGTGCTAGTGGTCTGTCGTGCACTCCCAGCATGCCCTTCCTCATTCATATTATCTAATAACTGCATTCATAACAGAAGCAACTCCATCAATGACCTTTGATGAGATAGTGATTAACCTTACAACTGTGAAATTACCCCTTCCCCCTTTTCCTTTTTGTTGGGTAAAATAGAATGAAATTGTCATTGGCAAGCAAATGGTCATTTTTAAAAATCAAATTCTGGACTCCCAATCTAATGTTGGTTTGATCAGAGAAAAAGTCTTCTGACAGGAAAATGGAAAGGTGTTTGGGAAAGGGTGGGATGTCGGAGTAAGACGATGCAACATTCCAGCTTGACAAGTCCTGAAACATGGAGGAACTGGGATTAGACAATGTTACGACTTATTACAGGAGGAGGTGATGGCCTAGTGATATTATTGCTAGACTATTAATTTTCTGAGGAATCCTGCAATGACAGGTGGTGACATCTGAATTTCTTAAAAATCTGGAATTAACAGGCCAATTGTGATCATGAATAATCTTGGTCCATTAGTTCACCTTTAGGGAAGAAAATCTTCTGCCTTTACCTACTCTGACCTAGATGTGATTCCAGACCCACAGCAATTTGATGGACTCTTAACTGTGCTCTTCACATTTAGCGATGGGCAATAAATGCTGGCCTAGAAAGCAAAGTCCATATCCTGTGAATGCATAGAGAAAAGGTGCTCATTTTAGGTGGAAGGAATGAGGGGGCAGATTCAATAGTTTGCAAAGCTTCAGCTGAACCATTCATTTCCTCAGTGATTATGTGAAGACCGTACTGGGAAGGTGCTCACAACAAAACTGATTCAAGCTGCCACTCTGCTTGTCGTGGGGACGGATACATAGTGGGAAGAGGAGGAGAGAAAAGGAACAGGGAATCAGGTGATACAAGTTGGTGTCCACTTCATAGTCTAGCACACCATTGGTCCATAACACTATGAGACCATTAGAAACAGGAGCAGGATTAACCTGTTCAGACCCTCAAGCCTATTCCTCCATTCAATAGGATCATGGCTGATCCCACATTCCTCACATCCACTTTCCTGTCCTTTCCCCAGAATTCTTGACTCCTGACTGGTGCAGAATCCATCTATCTCAGCATTAAATATGCACAAGGACTCTGCTCCCACAGCTCCCTGTGGCAAGGAGTTCCAAAGACTCAACTCTGAGAGAAGAAATTCTCCCTCATCTCCGTCTTAAATTGGTGCCCCTTTATTCTGAGACTATGCCCTTTGGTCCTAGACTCTCCCATGAGGGGAAACATCCTCTCAGCCTTTACCCTGTCAAGCCCCTTAAGAATCCTGTATGCTCAATGAAATCACTCCCATTCTGCTAAACTCCAGTCAACAGAGTTCCTCATAGATAATAAGAACTGCTGATGCTGGAGTCAGAGATAACACTGTGTGGAGCTGGAGGAATACAGCAGGCCAGGTAGCATCAGAGGAACAGGAAAGTTGCTTTCCCAACCGAAACGTCAACTGTCCTGCTCCTCTGATGCTGTCTGACCTGCTGTGTTCCTTCAGCTCCACAATGTGTTATCAGTCAACAGGGTCCCAATCTGTTTAACCATTGCTCATAAGGCAATCCCTCCATACAATGAAATGAAATCTTTCCTTAAATAAGGGGACCAGAACTGCTCACAATACTCCAGATGTGATCTCCAATCTAGACTCTGGGTAAGATGAGGTGAAGTTACACCCTCCCAACAAGAATAGAAAGAAAATAAAATCAATTCAACTGAATCCGTCTGCCTTGACTAACACCTGGGGGAGTGTAGTCCCTGAATATTGGTTTTGAAGGTAGAATTCAGAAGGGTATGCATAGATACAGTCAGGGTCCTTTAAGAAAAGGCAATTGTTTGGTTCTGTAATCTCTTTATTTTTTAGCTATACAGTTGCTTCTCAGTGCAGACAACATTTGCTCATTCGCAGTTCTCGGAACAAAAAAAACTCAAGATGTTTAAATATACTCTGGCAGGAACGGACCATGCTAATACCTGTACAAGATAATACCCAAACCATATACATCAAAGGCATTTTATACAAAAGGCAGTTTTGGTCTCGAAACGTAACTAAAAGTGATATTAATTCGAAGCGTTTCAAATTGAAAAGATGTCACATATTTATTGATAAGTACGACTTAGAGAATGTGAAGGCCTCTTAAGGATTGATTCAACTGAAAAAGAGAGTGCCTCGGGAGGCGAGATTTTTGTCCCAGCCTGTTTAGAAACGAACAGATTGCTCATGTATCTTTCGGTGGAGGTTTTGTACAGCTGATTCTCCTTGATTGCATATTCCCGGTATTTCCTCGCTGCCTCTTCCAGGATGCCTTTATTCAGGAATGTTTTTAGCTCCGAGGTAACATTTTCCTGAGGCTGGTTGTGGGTTTGTGACTGGGATATGCCGCTGTTGAATTGCCCCGCGGGCACCGGTTGCTGCGGGCTCTCTCTGCAGCCGAACGGACTGCTGGCTGGAGCCGAGCAAGGAGAGGAGGAATCCCCCTCGGCGAACTGGGGGCATCCTTTCTTGGGCGGAGAAAACGCCGAGCGGTCGCAGGTCACCTCCAGGGCTGGCTGCTGGGCGCTGGTCATCTCTCGCACCCCGGCTGGCACAGGCTGCATTTCTCTCGCTGCTTTTTTGGGTGACTCCCGGCTCTCATTGGGCAATCGGCTTTCCGGCACTGCTGTCCCTTTAGAATCCCAAACGGCTCCCGGCTTGAGAGTCTGGATGGCGCTACTGGCATTTAGTACGTACTGTTGGTACAGCAGGGCATCGCTCAGGGAACCACACTTTGGCCAGACCATTAACCTGGGGCTCAGTGGGTACTGCCGGTAGGTGGTGGCCACACTGACATTAGAAGAAATGAGCTCCACTGCTCGATCTGAGCCAGAGTACTGCATGGTTAGGTCAAGGCACGGGGGCATAAGGTTACAATGCTGGGCGATGTCTTTGCTCGGTCTCTCAAGCGGAGGCGGGGTGTAGTTAGATTTGCAGGAATTGTACTCAGCTGCGTGCACCATGCCGTTAGGCAGGAAGAAGGCTGCAGCAGCTTGAGCAGCTTCAATCATCTCTCTCTCCTTGTACTCCCTCTCCATCATGATGCTCTCCAGCTCCTTGTCAGCGAAAGCACGCCTTTTCCTCATCCGGTCACTAACGGGAGGGGGCAAAGGTGGGCTTCCTCTCAGGTAAGGCTCATTCTGAGCTGGTCGATAACCTACAAAGCAGGAACAATTCAAAAAGGTGAGTGTTTTAAGCACGGCTCAAGGTGAACGAAATCCAACCCCCTGCACAAAACGAAAGCAATAGCGGTGTCGGCTACAGCTTATGAACAAGGCGGGTTGAAAAGACCAAACTGGACAGTGTTAACATGTTGTTCACATATATCCATTGGAAATTTTAAAGGATTCTCAACCCGAACTATTAACATGGTGAAATGCGCCCCAAATTGAAAGCAATTTTCTTTTTTTTCAATCTTTGAACACGAACTACTCTACCATGCAGCCTCTATCGTTAGAATTTTGACTGGGGAAAAATCAGCTAAAATTCGCTCCACTAAGGACTAAATCATAAAAGGCGTTCTAAACTCTGCTCAAGTGAAAGGATATTGTTCCAAGCCACTTATCACCTCAGCCAGGCCTATTGTTATGATGTGGAGGTGCCGGTGTTGGGGTAGGCTGGACAATTTCAGAAAACACAATACGCCAAGTTATAATCCAACAGCTTTATTTGAAAACACAAGTTTTCGAAGCGCAGTCCCTTCTTCAGGTGAAGTGAGAAAGAAACACACAGAACACAGAATTTATAAGTAAAAGATCAAAGGGTCACACAACCGATGAGGATGGATTAAACAAACCTAAGATGCTCATCCTCATCAGTTGTGTGATCCTTTGATCTTTTACTTATAAATTCAGTGTTCTGCGTGCTTCTTTCTAACTTCACCTGTCGAAAGGACTATGCTGCGAAAGCCTGTGTTTTCAAATAGGCCTACAGTCACATTACACGCTGATTCTTACGATAATATAAAATAAAACAAAGAACTGTGGATGCTGGAGTTCTGATACACAAATCGAAATTGCTGAAGAAAATCAGGTAGGGCAGCACCTATGGGGAGAGAAAGTAGGGTTAATGTTTCAAGTCATCGTTTGCTCCCCACAGATGTCGCTAGACCTGAGATAACAAGGTGTAGAGCTGGATGAACACAGCAGGCCAAGCAGCATCAGAGGAGCAGGAAGGCTGACGTTTCGTGCCTAGACCCTTCTTCAGAAAGTTTCAATATCTTACCAGGCAATTGTCAGATACACTGATACAACAACAATAAAGTCCATCTTCATTTCTGAAGAAGGGTCTAGGCCCGAAACGTCAGCCTTCCTGCTCCTCTGATGCTGCTTGGCCTGCTGTGTTCATCCAGCTCTACACCTTGTTATCTCAGATTCTCCAGCATCTGCAGTTCCTACTATCTCTGTCGCTAGACCTGCTGGGTTTCGCCAGCAGTTTGTAGTTGTGTGTGTGCGTGTGTTTGATTCTTGCGATCTTTCGTTTGGAAATTCAGATACTGACTGATGATGTTCAATGCATTTGACAGCCTGGGCAATCAGTTTTTTTTAAAATGGCATTGAGCTGGCTTTGACGTGGTCTCTATCTGTAATATTTGCCACTGAACTTGTTATTCACAAGACCCGAAAAATCTCATTCTGAACAAGGTTCACTGGACTCGAAACGTTAACACTGTTCCTCTTTACACAGATGCTACCAGACCTGCTGAGTTTCTCCAGCAATTTGTTTTTGATTTTTCAGAAAAAGACTTCACAGACTACCCAATGGTACTAACTGGTCTGTAAATAATGTCAAGTTATTGTAGTGTTTTATTTGAAAGTTACACATTTCAGCAGGACAGCCGTGTTACTCCAGTTTCATTCACACCAGAAGCAAAATCGATCTTATTAACTTTAAACTTTGTTCCTTTTTGGTCATGCTATTTAACTCAATCACCTTTGGTGCGTTACCAACACGTATCAAAAGGCCATCTGTGTGTGTATATCCTCTACTATAATCAGGAATTGCTTATGTCAGTTAAAATAAAACAATGTTGCATTTTATGTTTCACGCTGTCATATATGCCCTGCGACTGATTGCTCAGGACCACGTCACGATCAGGCAGAGGCTGTTTCAAACATCTCCCTGCTGGAGTTATGATTTCAGGTTTTGAAAATAGTTGTCATAGTCAACAAAGCGCTGATATTTGTTCCTGACTATTATGTAAGCACTCATCTACAACAGCACAGGCATAACCTTACTGTTCAGTTGTGTTCTAGGCAAATCGGACAGTGGGATACGTTAAAACGCGTTTTAATAACATTGTACATTTGAGACATTCCACTTTATTCAAACACAGTTTATTTAAATGAAAAGCCGGCAGTTATTTTACTTTCCACTGAATATTAACTAAGCACTAGCTTCTGTTGAAAATGCTACTTTTAAGTTTAAGATGATTAAAGCGAGTTTTTGAATGGGGAGCAACAAAAATGCTTATCCTTAAAGGTCCTAAAGATGGGAAAGGTATTATTTTCCCCAATGTCATTTAATTTATTTCAGTTCACCCGTTATTCAATATGCTCTTCAAAATGTAGATTTAATGAAAACAAATCTTAAAGTTTGCTTTCACTTATTGGTCCATCTATCAGTCCTGTTTGCACTGATCAGGTCAGCTCCGAGTCTCCCACAAATGATGTCCCAGGAACCAATTCTGTTCATTTCAACTAATCCCATGTGGCCGCACGGTAGTTGCAAACGCCCTGTAAGTCATTACAATAAGCTGGGCCCTTAACTGGTAACTAGTGTTTATTAGAAATATGAAGCTAACAGCGATTGCGAGCGTTGTTCGGTTTTGACAAGAACATGGAGATTACACTAGAGCAGAATACATTGATTTTTTTTCAGTGAACAGTCACATCCTGTATTCAGTAATAATTGCAAAATGTGTAGCGCCGATAATAATCCATTCCATTTGATCATGACTCACCTCAGTCTGATTGGCTGTTTCAGTACACATGTATTTTATTTGTACAGATAATCAGACAAGGACTGCTAACCCCGTCTTTCCTCAGTTGATTTTGACGAAGTAATCAAACTTGGACCAACTTTTTTTTTTCCCCAATTGTCAGGCCGTTTAAAGTCAAGGGTAGCCATCTAAGACTGTACTAACATGTCTCCAGTTGTTCCGGCTAATTAAAACCACAGGCTAATACATACCCAGTGCAACTTCTCCCCAGTGTTTCGCATTGACAACGCGAATTCAATTTGCACTAATCGGGCAAATATATCATGCTATAAAATAATTCTTTCAGAGTGAGAAATTACGTTATCCTGGTTTGGAACAATATTGGAAGTTCAATGGAGCCTACCAAAATACCATACGTTTCATTCCTCCCTTAGTTTCAATATCTTACCAGGCTGGCGTTGCAGTTCCCAGTAATTGTTAGACATACTGACACAACAACAATAAAGTCCATCTCAAAGTGACGCCGTTACATTCCTTAATAAATCGTCCATGCTCCCTTCAGACATTTAGAATGGTGGCCAAACATTAAACAGAAATGTTCTTGAGAAACTAACTCGTTTATTTACAAAAAAAAATGCAACAACAGCTCAGTGAATATTCTGGTGCAGTTCCAAACTAAAGTCCTTCTTCTAACATCATCTCAGCATCAGCTTAACCTTTTATTTTCATTCCATTTGCCCGCGTCCTTACGCTCACCCCCACTCATTCACCGATTGAACCGTTTCTCCTGTCCCATGACTCTCGGCACAGAGGCATCCATTCTAACGGAGCTGAGATAAATCTGCAACTCACCTTCTAAAATGCTCTTAGCCAGCAGACTCGGCGTTCTCAGGTGCCTCTGATAAACGGCTCGGCGTTCGGCCAAGTTGTGTTTGTTCGATATCCCTTTCTTATCCTTGGAAAGAAGCAGGGACAGAGAAAAAAAAGACAAAAAAATAACTTGGCAGTAGTAACTGCATTTCCCACCTCAATCCATGTGTAAGTGACATGCCGTATGTTTCTAATATAGCCAAATACAAGCTGAAATTTCAAAAAAACTTCTGTATTCTGTCTGCCACTCAGCTCTGTTAAATATAATCATTACAGTGGGGCATTGACTGGACCAGGACTTGCTCTTACGGTAGGGGAAGGGGACAAGATTACAAGCAGCGATTCCCACACTGACCAGTTCCATCTGAGAACAATTTGACGGTATTTCTCGCGTTTTTTGACGGCGTTAACTAACCAATTTGAAAGAAGTTTGGTGAAGGAACGTGAAAAACTGAACCGAGCAAACTGTCGTTATGAAATGAACAGCGGGTGCCGGAAATCCGAAACAGAAACAGAAATTCCTGGAGCAAATCTGCGGTCACCGGACTCAAGAAAATTAACTCTGTTTCTCTCTTCACAAATGCTGCCAAGCCTGCTGAGTTTCTCCAGCAATTTCTGTGGTTTTTGTTCCAGTAAACTGCTTACTGCGCCAGTGGTTACAAACCAACTGTATGTATATTTCAACATGGGACATTCAACTGCAATTAGTCAAGTCAAAGGAACGGCTGAACACAGTCAAGTGTGTTTGTTTTTAAATCCATTCTGCAGTTTCTAAATGCGTCCCCATGCAGCTGTCTCAATCCAGTGTTGACTGTCTTAAATAGCCTTTAGGTGCGGTTTTATTCTTACAGTATCTAGACTTTACAGGAAATCATCCACGAACGCCTCACAGGGAGGGACCAAACAATATAAATGTAGAATGAAAGGTAATATCCGGGCCAAAGTGACAGCCAATTTGGCAGCATTTCATGCTATACATTCTGCTCGGTTTAATTCCCTCTCGACACCCCCTCCCCGGTAACCTCACCTCGGTCGCCTGCTGTCTCCTGAGCGCTACCTGCGCTGCCATCACCCTCTGCCTCTCCACCACCAACAAGCAGTTAGCACATTGACAGTCCCTCCAGCGACAGAAGCGCTTGTGACCTTTCAGACACGACACCACGCCATGGTTCCTGCACCGGGCACATTTCGGGGTCCGGCTCAGCTTCCTCTGATCCCCGTCGGCTCCCTGCTGTTTCTTCTCGGCCTCGAGTGACCCATCTTGCCCGTGGCCTGACACAGCCTGCGGGGAGCTGGCTAGCTCTTCGTCCTCCACTTCTAAACTCTCCACGTCTATTTCCAGCTCGATCCCGCGCTGCTCAGTGGTTTGCATTCCGAACTCTGAGCCGTGGAAACCACCCCGACAATAGCAGTGAGATTGTTTTGCTCTCGGTCCGTTTACAGTTTACATGGACCAGTGTAAAACTCCTGAAACTGGCGACCTTCGATCTGAGGGCTGCTGTAAAACATAAAGCGAGATAGAATTTCAATCGCAACAGGTTCAGAGATTCCATTAGTGCAAGGACTGGCCAATTGTCAGTATTTGACGTCGTTATCTGAACATCCAGCAAAATAAACCCCACCGACATCGAAGCAATTTCAAATCACTGTCTTTCCTGGAATTGAATTTTGCTTCCTCAGTTTTCTTTAAACGTGCTCGCTAATTTTTTTTGGTTTTACCTGCGCCGACATTGGCTGCGCGTTTACAAAGTGCGGTATAATTATTACCGTACAGACAGAACATCTACACCCGAAACGTTAACTCCGGTTTCTCTCCGCAGATGCTGCCAGACCCGCTGAGCTTCGCCAGCATTTGCGGCGTGTGTTTCCCATTTCCAGCACCCGCGATTCTTGGCTTTTATTTCAGCTTTAGCAACCGTTGCGGATGATTTGCAATATCTGCAGTGCGCGCCCGGTTAAAATAAAACCAAGAACCGCTGATGCTGGAAATCTGAAACAAAAACGGAAGTTGCTGGAGGAACTCAACAGGTCCGGCACGGTCTTGTACTGAAGGTGTGAGGGTCACTGGAGTCGAAAGGTTCATTCTGTGTTTTCTCTCTTCACGGACCCTGCCGAGTTTCTCCGGTATTTTTGAAGCAGATTTATCTTACCTATATCATCTTGTCCAAACCACAGAGCACTTTAACCTGCAAGTCATTTGTACTGACCTTGTGTCTAAAATTTAGCAGCAGCAGCAGGGGCACGGTGAGCTGATGTGTGCTGAGGGAGATTTGGTCGGCTCTTGTCCCTGGGCTCGGCTCCTTTTAGAGGAGACCGAGTGGATCGTCAATTACCTGCTTGTTAATATCAGCGCGGGGTCAAAGGCCACGCTCTCTCTGATTGGTCGCCTCTAAAGGGATCTAGGCGCTGACTGGTTGGGCTCTGCTTCCGGGAGCTGGCGGTAAGTCAATCTCCGCGGCCCTGGTTTTCAGTGTAGAATAATTTAAATATGCAGGGGGAACACACACACACAGTACATACACATAAAGTATAGGGCTGCAATGGAATGAAATCTTTTGCCAATGTGGTTTTAGGCAATCACAAAAGTGAACGAGGCACTTTAGGAAAAAGTCAACATGAAGTATCAGAAGTTCCAGAAAAAAAACCAATACGAAAGGATGAAGGTGTCCAGTTACCTTTATAAATGTTGCGCATTTTTTAAAAAGTCTTGCACGTTCCCTATTTTATCGAGTTCAACAATGATTATTTTCTGGCTAACTGATGAAGGGATTGATCAAGGGTTGCTCCTGTCCAATCAATCCCGGTTCGATTGTCGACACCGATTCATTTAAGGCAATAGTTCTTCTTTAAGATTAGGACAGGTTTATTAGGCTGAGTGCTGTCTCTGAGTTACAAGGATTAGGATAATGGCATATTTAAATACAATAATATTGTTCAACAAAAAATCAAAACTTTTGTTTATGTAACCATGTGTAATCTATTTAAACGTAACATTTCAATTTTGAAATAATTTGTATTTGAGAAAGTTTGCCAAGATAGTTGACAACAAACGTGAATTTATGTTTTTAAGTTTCTCGCGTATTCCTGAACGATAACTACAGTATAAGTGCACACTGCAGCATATTCATAAAGTACATAAAGTTGTGTGTGAAACAACAGTATTTGAAACCTAGATACATTGCAAATGTATTGTCGAAGCAAACAACTGATTTACCTTCGTGTCTCATTACAGAATATTGTGCATAAGGTCATTTAAGCGAGTCGCGAATTAAAAGTAATGACGTTAAGGTTTAATTATGTTAAAGTTCATGACTTCATATTTTACGATTGAGAACGTGCTTTCCAATGACATTAAAACAGGAAAGTTTATGTATAAAATAAAACGCAAGGGCATGTATAAGTGTCCATTACATTAACGATCAACGTTTCAGCGGAACAGACTATCAGAAGACACTGGCGTTTTGTTTTAGTTCACAATCCGAAAAGGCCAGATTTCAGAAGCCGCCTCCTATTGAATCGGAGGACAGTAAGAACTGGTCAATCCGAAGGAAAGATAAACACAATATGGGCAGAGGCAAAGCGAGTATTGTGTGTATTCAAATACAAAGGGAAAAGACGAACCAGATGCAAATTAGGATTTGCATCGCAATCAATGGATTGTTTTACTTTCCCACTTAAACCTACAGACAACGTTTTAAACCACCTCCAGACCAGTGAACAAGTAGCTATTTTCTGGGGATTTTTGGGGGAGAAGACCTAGCATCAACAGCAAATTGACCAGAATCGTGGACAATGCTTTGGGGGAAAATAGATGAATATTTTGTTTTAATCTCGAGAATGTAATTTTAAACCTTCGTTAATAATAGAGGAATGACGAAGACCCGTTCCTTAGGCAGCAGACACAAAGTTTGCAAGCAGCTATTTGATTGGGCTCGACATTGATTTTTTTTAACAATGGCCTGGATTGAAATTGTGATTAAATATTTTTGTACAGGAATACAATCATGAAATACAAACAAACAGTATTAACATGCTAATAGACATCTGAACGGTTAACTGCGAGGTGGAATAAGCATTGTGATAGGTGGAGAGCTGCGCGGACTATTTCCAAATAATTAGCTAACACGTGTTTTTCAATATAAAAAGGAGATATTAACAAAGTAAGGAGATGACTTGCATGAAAAAGATAATTGTCAAATTCGGCTCACATTGGTCGTTAATCAATTATGTGATTGTAGTTATTCATCAACTTTTTTGATTTCGACACGACAGGTTTTGGTTCTGTGCTCCATCGGGCAAGTTTCAGACTGAGTCTCCCTGAGACTATTAGCCAAGAAATGATCAAACAACCACTCGTTGTGGCGTTTCTTTAAAAAAGATCTAGAGAGTGAAATTTGCGAATATTAATTTGGGAAGTGGGTATCATTAGATAATTAGTTATATCACTATATTCCGCACTTTTTCTTATATCATACTGTACCACTTGTCTATCGAGAATTTTGTAGAGAATGTAAAAGCCTCACTGTTAATTTTGAGAAATTGCTGATGACTGATAACATACTGGTTTTCGAGAGTGCATTAAGAACTGCAACATATCGGCAGTTCCCGTTAGATTTTCGTTATGTTCATTCAACTAAACAGTAAGGTTCGATAACTGGTTCCAACGCAGCCAAAGTTATCCAAAAACGAAGCCGCTAAATATTTATCAGCCTCTAATGACACACTGAGCCATCTCCTGTTGAGCCCCTGGGAAATGTATTTTGAGAAATAAAAAAAAAGAAGCAATTCTCAAGAGGTTTGAAAGTTACATTAAAGGGGTTTTCGGGTATTTCAATACAGGAGGCTGGCTGATAACATATCCCATCGTGTGTCAGAAAATTCTATGAAATGTAAGCTAACAGTGCTTGCACAAGATGTGAAAATGATGAATTGTATCGATAGTGGAACAGAGGGAGTGTCTGAATATGAGGCTAGTTACAGTTTTGGGTGGAATAATGATGTGGGTGTTCACGCGTTCTGCCTGGTCTTTGTCTTCTCAAAATTTCATGTATTTTTCATAACAAATCGCATTTACAACAAAAACATAACGTGGAGTTAAAGCAGGTCATTAGAATTTATCCAGCCCACGGTATTAACGACATGTCAAACGATGTGACTGGTTTTAGTCGAACAATGATCTAACGGAACATCAAAAATGCCATCTTGAAAGACCTTCTCCATTCTTTTGCTACTGTTTGGCTCACGGGCATGACTAAAAAGTAAATACCGTAGGAATTCGCCTTTTTACCCCCGGGATTTGACTTAAAAGCCAGAAGCATGACCGAGGACTTGTTACGTGGAAGAACAGAAATCCTTTCGTGTAAGCCGATACCAAATAACGAAGCTGAGCATTTCGAGTCACAATCTAGAGGTACAAAACTCCTTCAAGAGTCAGTTACAATGGCCAGGTGAATTAAAAATATATAGGCCAAATACAATAAGTCAAGATTCAAACGATTACTTTTGCATTTAAGGCCAAACTATACTTAAAATCTAAATATGTTTTCGACTGAATGAACAGGAAAATGAAGTGATTATAAACGCTTGCAAATTTTATACCCCCATGACTAATCTATTTTCCCTTAACCTTTCCCTTTTATAACGCTGACATTACCTTTACACTAATTATTTGCAGAAATTTTAATTGTTATATTTCTTCTATGAATCGCAGGGTCGTTACAGATGGAAGGCGGCTATTCTGCCCGTCGGCTGTACTCCTGCAGTGTCTGTACAAGAGTCGTAGGAGCAAATTACTGCAGATGCTGGAATCTGCACTGAAAACAAAAAATGCTGGAGATCACAGAGGGTCAGGCAGCATCCATGGAGAGAGAGCAAGCTAACGTTTCAATTGTAGATTTTTGTAGCTCTCCACAAGAGCCAGTCAGCTAGTCCTACTCCCCCACCGTTCCCATAGAGGCGTACTCGTTTTCTATCTTCGGGTACTTATCCAGTTCCCTGTCAAAAACCCAATTGGATCGGCATTCAGCATACTTCAAGACAGTGCATTCCAGATGCTAACCAGTCATTGCAAAACCTTTTTCCTCATGTCCCTTTAATTCCACCAATAGTTTATCACTGTCTAGTATGCTTAAACGCCTCATTTTTAAAAAATTCTATTAAATATCCTCTCAATCGTCTCTTTCCTGAGAACAACTCCAAGTGTTTTTTTTCGAAGCTATCTACATAAACGAATGCCTGGAGTCTTTTTTCGATATGTTTTCTACGCCATCCTCACATCCTGCCTAAAGAACGGCCATAGGAATTGATACAAACTCCAGTTAAGGCCAAATGAGTTTTATTTTCTAAAGGCATCACAACTCTTTTGGCTTTGTATTTTATTCCTCTCTTTTATAAAGCCAGAATTGAATATATTCTACTTATTAAAATTTGTTATCTGTGTCTTCTTATCCTAAATGCAATTTTTGTATCTTTCGTGCATCTTTGGGTGAATTCCATCCGCCCGCCTTCATTCCTGCTAAGTGCAGTCATAGTCCAGGGAAGTTTAAAGCGGCCTGGAGCTGAAATGGGCGGGAAAGCGGTGACGATGGCCGGAATGGCCGCTGGAATTGTGGCTCGCAGTTGCAAGGACTGTCCTCCTCACTCCAGCTCAAATTTATGAGCACGGTTACGCCAAGCTCATGAAACTGCTACCCTGGGTACGATTTACAAATGAAGAATGCTTTGATCATCTCTGCTCACCGCTTTTCAGTACAAACTGCATCGCCAAACTGCGGACAGCACGCAATCTTGTTTTTTTTTGCGCTAGAGTTTACGATCTAACCTGAAACAAATTGTTGAACAACTGTCCCTCAGGTAAAGGGCCAGGAACTCAATCATTTATAGATTCTCGGAGTAACAGGTAATCTTGAAGCAAAGTCTTAGAGCTAGACAAAAGTGCAATGTTTAGCGAGAGGTAAATTTATATTTCTTACAATGGCTATTTTAAATTCTGCATGTTGCTATAAATAGATCCCTTGTCACGTTATTTCTGAGATGTCGAAGTCTACTTTTATGGTTAAGTAACAGATGCTACAGTGAATGTTGTTCAGAATTATATAGAGGAGGTCTTGTTGAAATATTTAGATGAATTGTCATTGCTGATTCTACACTGAGCCGCATCTCTTCATTGACTAAATTGGCCAATAAGATTGTGCCAAACGCATAAACAATTACGGGATTGGAATTGTATTTGCCAATCGTTTCGATTTTACCAAAGTCTGTGCATTTACGGAGTGAAGTCAAACAAGGAATTTTGTATTTTCAATGATACGAAGTGTAAT